CCCTTTAATATGAGAAACAACGAATAAAGGAATTGAACGTTTTTTTTTTTATTATTATTTATTATAAATAACTAAAATGAGCCCAAACCGATTGTTTTTTTTTTTTCATACTACCAAAAATAATTTTTCATTATACTAAAAATGAGGAAAATTAAAAAACCGATTGAAATACTAAAACTGAATGGTCTTTTTTTTTATCTCCCTTTTTCATTTTGGCTTAGTATTTTTTTTTTCGCCATATTCCGAAGTTAATCAACAAAAATAAATATTTTCAATAAAAAAAAAGTGAAGAAAGTTAATTTTTAATTCTTTTTGTATGTGGCTTTCATTCTCTCTTTTTCATTTTTTTTTTTTTCGAAAAAAAATTCTTTTTTTTTGTTTATCAATCACGTTATAATGTTTATACTTTATACACACAATGAACTTAATATATATTTATTAATACTGTAAAAATACTGATATATTGAAATATAAATATTTATTAATAATTATCATTCGTTATATAGTCGTTATATAATCGGAAAGAATCGCAAAAAAAAAATCCGAAAAAAAAAAATTGTCATGCGATAAATAAAAGAAAGCCTAGAAGCCTAGAATCGGAATTTAACTAATTTGTTTAAATTAAAATCAATAAAGTTTTAAAAATATTTTGTAAATACTTTTTATCCATTTTGAATGGAAATTTTTTTTCCTTAAAGAAATTACCATTTTTTACCATAAATTTACTGGAGTAATTACGGCGCGTGACGCAGAAGGGGAACGGGGGAGTTCGTCGGAGATGCAATTACGAATTTTATTTATTTTGTTTTTTTTTTGGAGACACAAACAAAAAACCCTGGCTATTTAGGTTATACCATTTTTAAATCATAAAATCATAACTACGCATACCTATTTTACGTATGCTGTAACTACGCCACAAATAATTAAGTTGTCACTTTGTCACTTTGACATAAGTTATTTTTAAGAAAAAAAGAATAAAATGCAATATAATGTACGTACGTTTGATCATATGAACTACAATATGTCTTGATTTATACAATTTTTTTTGACGTTTAAGGAACATGTTACATGCAAGTTCCTGAAGCAACCGGGTAATAGTTAACTATACATAGATTCATTATATAAGGAAACAAGAAATTTATCTGGTTATTTTCTAATATTAAGAGAAAAAAATTTAACCATATCTCAAACCATTGTTCTTTAAAATATCATATGTCTTTTAATGCTCTTTATATCATTTTTATTGTTCATTGAAAATATATATTGATGAAATAGGGAATTACCCGCCGTTTTGTATCATGACATATTTTATTTTGATTAAAAAATTTGTTAATGTATGGTAAACATACTAATTAAAACCGGTTTAGTTAAAAATGCAATATTTACATGTTATTTTTGCAGTTTATAACAACATATTTTTACTCTAAGCATTTAGAGATATAAATTATTTTATTAAAAGGGAATATGCGAAATGCTTCCCGCTTTTCGTCGATCGAGCATTGCATTTTTTTAAATCTATTTCAAAAAGATGGTAATGATCTACATGTTTAAATTGTACAATACATGATTTTTTATTTAAAATAGGTTAGAAGGATTTTTTTACAATAATTACAAAATATTGCATCGAATTTTTTTTTTTTTTTTTCTCTCTCTTCTTTTTTTCTTATACATTACATACATTAAACATTTTATACATTACATTTGCATTTTTTTTTTCAATCGTCATTATCGTCATTATCATCATTATCATAATTATCATAATTATCATCAAAAAAATAAATATCTAAATTAAAGATTAGAGGAAGATTTAGGAATGATGGTAAAACGAATCACAAGGATCACGTATAAAATGAGTAACTTAAGTAATCAGCAAAATTTACGCCTTTTACAATATATACTGTATACATACATAACATACATACAGTATATAACTTTTCAATAAATAAAGGCGCACGGGACAGTTTTTTTTTTAGTGTTTCAAAAACCGAATAATTCCAAGAAAAATATGATACTGATTTTTTACTTGGTATCATTAAAAAGATGTACAATACTTTTATGTTTGGTTACAAATACGATTGATTGTACACTTTGAACATATGATATTTACGTTTTATCTACTTCAAATTTGAACCAAAAGAGACAAAAAATTAAATGCTGCAATTTGTCGCTCCTTTTTCAATAGAGAGATAATCTTTTTTAAAAAAAGCCCATCGACAATTTTAGTCTATTAACGGCGGTAATAAATATTCATTAAGTATAAACAGTTTTTAGTTTCACAAAATATTTAATTTTACAAAAAAAAAAAAAAATTTTTACACGATTGAACTTTAATGACTTTTTTTGAAAGTGAAAAAATACAAAAATATAAAAACTTATCTTATCTACTGTTACTTCTAATGACATCTGTTTTTAATAAACGTTTAATATTTATCATTTTTGTTCATTTGTTTACTCTTATTAACGTAATCGTGTGAAATAATAATAATAATAAACTTCTTTCATTTTGCGCGGGATGAATTGTGTCACGGAATTTTACATTTATTCTTCGCTCCGAACAAAGTAAACGTGTGTATATGTGGATCTTTTGGATTACACGCGATAAATATTAACGCGGGAAACAAAAATTTTTTATAAAGTGAACAAAAGTGAACTTAAAAATTTTTTTTTTTATAATAATAATAAAGAAAGGAACAAATTTTTTTATTAAACACCGCGAAAAATCATATTTTATTCTTTGTATATACAAATAGACTTTCAATGATGAAAATGCAAAAAAAAAAGAAAAAAAAAAAAAAATTA